GTTGCAAATCCTTTGCAATCAATTACAGCCTGAAGTCTGGAAGGCATAGACATCACCAGACGCTGGGTTTCATCCCTGGTGATGCTCTGCCAGGCCTCTACTGCAACGGTCTTCAGTTCCTGCTTGTTCTTGGGGCATTTTCCCTTCAGTTTTGTCTTCAGCAAGTGAAATGCATGCTCAATCGGATTCAGGTCGGGTGCTTGACTTGACCATTGCATAACATTCCACTTCTTTCCCTTACAAAACTCTTTGGTTTCTTTCGCAGTATGCTTTGGGTCATTGTCCATCTGCACTGTGAAGCGCTGTCCAATGAGTTCTGAAGCATTTGGCTGAATATGAGCGGATAATATTGCCCGAAACACTTCAGAATTCATCCTGCTGAAATTCGTATTTCTTTTGTCAGCAGTCACATCATCAATAAATACAAGAAAACCAGTTCCATTGGCAGCCATACATGCCCACGCCATGACACTACCACCACCATGCTTCACTGATGAGGTGGTATGCTTTGGATCATGAGCAGTTCATTTCCTTCTCCACACTCTTCTCTTTCCATCACTCTGGTACAAGTTGATCTTGGTCATCCGTCCAAAGGATGTTGTTCCAGAACTGTGAAGGCTTTTTTAGATGTTGTTCGGCAAACTCTAATCTGGCCTTCCGGTTTTTGAGGCTCACCAATGGTTTACATCTTGTGGTAAACCCTCTGTATTCACTCTGGTGAAGTCTTCTCTTGATTGTTGACTTTGACACACATACCTCCTGTAGAGTGTTCTTGATCTGGCCAACTGTTGTGAAGGGTGTTTTCTTCACCAGGGAAAGAATTCTTCGGTCATCCACCACAGTGGTTTTCCGTGGTCTTCCGGGTGTTTTGGTGTTGCTGAGCTCACCGGTGCGTTCTTTCTTCTTAAGAATGTTCCAAACACTTGATTTGGCCACACCTAATGTTTTAGCTATCTCTCTGATGGGTTTGTTTTGATTTTTCAGCCTAATGATGGCTTGCTTCACTGATAGTGACAGCTCTTTAGATCTCATATTGAGAGTTGACAGCAACAGATTCCAATTGCAAATAGCAGACTTGAAATGAACTCTGAACCTTTTATCTGCTCCTTGTAAATGGGATAATGAGGGAATAACACACACCTGGCCATGGCACAGCTGAGCAGCAGATTGTCCCATTACTTTTGGTCCCTTAAAAAGTGGCAGGCACATATAAACACTGTTGTAATTCCTACACCGTTCATCTGATTTGGATGTAAATACCCTCAAATTAAAGCTGAAAGTCTGCAGATAAAGCACATCTTGTTTGTTTCATTTCAAATCCATTGTGGTGGTGTATAGAGCCAAAAAGATTAGAATTGTATTGATCTCCCAATATTTATGGACCTGACTGTGTTTCCTATACTGAAACTCAGGCTAAAGCAAGCATCAGCTAAGTTCTTGGGGACTAAATAAATTGTTCATCACTTTCATTGGGCAGCAGATTCAAATAAAATAAAAATGCACTTATAACTGCGGTGTTTAGAAAAAACTACACACTGTGATGAGCTGCAGAACTAAGAATTACAATAGTTTCAAAAAGTTATTTAAATTATCCATGAATTAAATGTTAAAACATTTAAAACAGGGTTCAATGTTCTCAGGACCTGATTGGCTTCAAAGGTCTTTAAATTGGATGGTGATGGTAATCATCAGATTCAAAATAGGGTCTTCATGCTCAGACTGGCCATGAGCAGGATTTCCCTGGGGTCAACCTGGTTTTTACTACCTTTTAGAGAAGGTAGGGTTTTCTGGTGGACAACGGCCCGGCCTGTCCTGTGACGTCCCCTAATGTGACTGAATCATTGGTAGATTTGGATGGATGGTTTATTCATCCAAGGTAGGGATGAAAATAGAAGTTTAATGTAAATTTTAAAAATGTGCGGAACGGAAACTTAAACAGCCTTCATTTAATTAGATGTAACCCAAATTTTAGTTAGATGCTGAAAGTGTGGTCATTTGGTCTGTGAAGTTTTGATTCTGATTACTTTAAATCCCTGGTTAATGTTACATCATCGTTTATTCCACTGATCAATGATGCCGAGAGATTTTTGACACAGTGCTTCAGATTTTTCCTTCTATTTTAATATTCTGGTTGTTGACATACATGGATGGGTTTTTGGACATACATGGTTTTTTTTTTTTAAGGTAACTAAAAACATTTCCTTATCAGGGTGAGTTGTTAGGATTATTTTTATTATTCACGTATTTGCTTGTCAAACCCTAATGTTACCTGCCTGTTAAGTGTCAAGATAATGTTTTCCCAAGCAGTTTATCTAAATAGGACAGCTCTTCTGTCACGATAAAAACTAATCATCTTCATTATTTACGTAACAAAGATTTGGGAATGAAGTCTGAGGATACAGAAAGAGTGGATTATTCTGTAACTGTGCATTTGAGTTGTCCTTGATCTAAGAACAGTGCATTATTTTGATATGGCTGGAGCCAGTGAAGTGTCCTCATGTTCAAAAATGTATGATGTAATGATGCGATGACGTTGCATGCTGTGTGTATGGAATAATTCCTTAACTGTTATTCTGGGAAAACTTCCTGAAGGAGTAAACCCTGTGTTAATTTAATTCAATTCAGTTCATTTCTACAGCGCCAATTCACAACATATGTCATCTCAAGGCACTATACAGTTCACCAGGTCACCCAGTCAAATTGATTCAAAGTTTTCTATCTAAGGAAAACCAGTTGATTGCATCGAGTTGAATGCAATCCCTCACACTAAGCATGCTTGTAGCGACAGTGAAGAGGAAAAACTCCATCTTAAATGGAAGAAACCTCCAGCGGAACCAGGCTCGGTGTGAGAGGCCACCTGTCGAGGCTGACTGGGGTTCAAGGAGACAGAAGCAGAGAAATACAAAAATCAACTGTGAAAGGCGGCCCCGTCCAAGAAACACACAGCCAGGCAGACAAGCTCCGAGCCAACTCCCATGTCAGAGGATGAAAAGAGCACATCCAGTTAGTCACAGTCAGAGAAACAGGACTACACTGGAAAACAGGCCGATCTCCAACATCTATAAACAAAAGGGTTGATGGCAGCAGCACAGCTCATACTATTTCTCTCCAGGATGGTGTCACAGCCAAACAGGAACAGACCAGATTGAGTACAATTACAATATCTGTCAAAATCAAAGTAGTTTAATACATAAATCTCAGAAAATATTATTTAAAGTGTTTGTTCCAAGTGATCTCTTCTCAGCAAAAAATCGGGGAGAGATAGCTTAAGGATGTAAACATAGAGTTTTCCTTTACAATCATGACACTGTCAGACAATTAGATCTCAGATGTGTATTGCCAGTTTAATTTTTATATATTGCAGTAATGATTCCAATTAGCAGTAACTGTGTTACTGTTTCTGATTCGTTTCCAGACTCGAGTTGACAACATTTAATTGTTTAATTATCCTGTCATGAACTGAAAATTGAAGTCAATTCACCTGTTAAACCATGTTGGAGAGTCTTTCAAAGTAAAGCAACATCTACAAACATAGTCATCGGATGGAGGACTTCCCTTTTAATAAAAGCTTTGTATAAAACCTAATGAGTTTTATTTCCTTTTAGTTTCTATTATGAAGGCTTTACACTTAAACTTTGTTCGTGACACTGCAGTTTCGTTTTGAGGTTATTTTCCCCGTAAAGAAATGTTTTTCCATCAGCTCTCTCCTGCAGTCGAAGTATCGCGCTTCTACACAGGGTTTTACAACCAGCGCTGTACCGTGATGCATTCAAATACATCATGTACCCTAGATTGTTTATTTTTTACAATATTCTTATCACTTCATTTTATTTAGCATTTATTTTGAAGAAAAACGAGTCAATAATTTCTGTGGGAGAACAAACAGTAGCAGATTTAGTTTATACATATATAAAAGACACATGACCTTTTTTGTTATTATTAAATACATGTTTTTTTCTGCTTTATTCCGTAAAAATTCAAAAAACTTTTCTGCTTTATGTTAAAATACTAAAATTCTTAATCTTTTTAAAAGATAAATTGGGAAAGTCTGTTTTATTACTTTCTGTACATAAGTAGGTTATTACAATACCTTGAAATTATTTGTAAGAAAGCCTGGAGGATAATAGTATGCCTTTTACAAGCTTGATGCAGATTGAGTCACAACATTTGAAGCAAGCAAAGAGATCCATAAATGGCACATATCAGAATGGGAGTGAACCCATATTTCTAAATTTCAAGTTTATGTTCTTTTTAACTCTTTGTGTTGTGCTTGAAATTTTAAAACTTCTTCGAGGTATGTGGAACAACAAAGCACACATATCAGTCATAATTAGGACGGTTAACTGTTGAATAATATGATAAAAGCAAATCTTAAATTTTGATTCTTAAACATTAAGGTTTTTTTTTATGCCAATAATTTCGCAATAATAACAATAATAAAATTTTTTATTTCAAATGCACCTTACTGGACACTCAAGGTCACCATACAAAAGATAAAAACATAATGGCAGAAACAAAGCTAAACCATTTAAAAAATACATTTAAAATCATAGTTGGACATGTGGAATTTGTAGGTTTAATATTTTTGCCCTCCAGAAATAGAGGAAATATTAAAAAAATAGGGCCACCCTCAGATTTTTTCATTTTTTTTTTTAATTGCTGAAACCTGTTTGTCTTTTAGTTTAATTTCAGTGCCTTATCAATCAGTATTTTTGTTTTTTGTTTATTTATTTTTATTGCTTTTTTGAGAAATCTAACTAGCTTAATAAAACATTCAGATAGTTTTTATATATTAAGTGTTAGATACAATAAATAGAAAAAGAACAAAACAGAAAAACAACTGCTGTATCCAGGTTTACATTCATAGATAATCCAAAGTCAGAGTTAACTTGAATGCACCGTGAAAGTTCGCAGCGGCCGTAACAAACTGTGTAGAAGCGCATTCGGTGGGTGAACTCCTCTAACCTTACCGGATATAGTCTGCCTTTATGCTGTATGCCTGCAGCGGCGCTACCTTTACAGACATCTCCAACTTCAGTTTGAGCCGCTCGGGCAGCACAGACGTCTGTCCGGATGGAGGACTAACCGCTCACCTAATCTGGGTCACTCCTCTTTATATGACCCGCAGATGGGCATGTAGCTTCTTGTGTTTCTTCTAAATATTACGCCTCTATTTTCGTGCTAAAATGGGTTCCCTTAGCATGTTTATTCACAGGGGTCTGATTGTGAGAGCATTTTGTTGCTTGCACAGTCAGCGTGATTTGCTATGGTGATACTACAGGAAGCTAACCCCGAGCTAGCCCAGGGATCGTTTTTGGGAGATACCTTTTTTTTTGGATAAAGCCACACGCTAACGCGTGAATCAGACACTTGTTGTTAACCTTCATTGAAGTGGAATATCGAAAGGGAATGTCGAACCAAGGAGTTAGGAGAAATGGCCCAGTAAAGCTGCGGTTGACAGGTAAGCAGAATTTAAACCCCCCTTCTTACACCGCTTAGTTATGCTAGCAAACTATTAGCTTGGATGCTAGCAGTTCTTACTAACGTCTACTGGCTGTGAAAATCTAAAATATAGTGGAAAATATGATCATAAACACATTTTATACATTTGGAATATCGTAACACAACCAGTAACGTTATCCTTAAGGGAATGAGGTTTAAAAGCAGTATAGTGAGTGCTGTTTATGAGCCTGCCTTGTTAGCAAACATTAGCTTGGAATAAGCTGCTATTTAGTGACATAACCACAAAATTAATGATTAATATTCAATTATTTTATCTTTATCATCATTTATGCTTTTTTAAGCGCAAATGCATTTCAGCTGTGCAATGAGAATTGTTTTTTGCAATACTTTTAGGAATATATTTGCTTGGCGTAGCGTTGTTTTAAACCTTTTAGATGTTGCAGCAAAAATATGTTTCTTCCATTTAACCAGATCTGTGTGTGTCATTAAAGTACAACATTTAATGCCAGGGAATCCTGGTCAGGACGAGCGGCTACATTTCTTATTTAGATGGATTTAAATAGTTAACGCAGGGCAAAAAAAAAAAAAAAAATCTATATTTACTTAAACAAGAACTGGTTAGAATAGAAAAGAAACAAACCTGCATTTAAGAAGATGATCTATAAAGGACATATCTCTGCTCAATCCCCTTTTTTCCTCCTCAGTATACTTTGATTTTATCTTTGGAGGGCACTTTAATTCAATAAACAATCCAGAAACTACAAGCCGCTCTGTGGACTTTCTTGGGTTTTCAAAAAAACAAAAGCCAAAACAAAAAAGGACCCACTAACTTATACCTACCACTTGTATACGGAGGAGGATAAGGGCCACTGAAAAAAATTAAAAAGTTAACTGATTTTTAAATATTATTTCAGTTTAATATGGGAAAAAGGTTAGAAGTCTGACTTTAATCTCAGAATTTTGACTTTAATCTCAGAATTTTGAATTTAATCTCAGAAGTTTGACTTTAATCTCAGAAGTCTGACTTTAATCTCAGAAGTAATCTCAGAAGTCTGACTTTAATCTCAGAAGTCTGACTTTAATCTCAGAAGTCTGACTTTAATCTCAGAAGTCTGACTTTTTTTCTCAGGATTCTGACTTTTTTTCTCAGGATTCTGACTTTTTTTCTAAGGATTCTGACTTTATTTCTCAGAATTTTGGATCTTAATGTAGATGGGCACCATGAAGGAAGAGATGTGCGAGCACTCAGCTTCACTGACAAAGATGTGACTTGTTTGGGAGGGCCAGTAACACATCGGTGGAAAATGACGGAATTAGGTGACTTTTTACCCGTCTGAGGGATCCCCAGTGATACCATTTAATTAATGGAAGAACAGAAGGTGATTAAAACAAGAGAGCTAGTTTAGTCTTTAAAACAGACATGGCTATGGCGTGATGCTGACATGTTTGTTAGCTGTCAGAATTCAGTCAAAATTCTGAGATTAAATTCAAAATTCTGAGATTAAATTCAAAATTCTGAGATTAAAGTCAAAATTCTGAGATTAAAGTCAAAATTCTGAGATTAAAGTCAAAATTCTGAGAAAAAAGTCAAAAATGTGAGATTTTAGGTCAGAATTGTGAGGGGAAATAGTCACAATTTTGAGGAAAAAGGTCAGATTTATGAAGAAAAAAAGTCAGAATTCTCATATTATACTGAAATAAAATTTAAAAATCAGTTAACTTTTTTAATTTTTTCTGTGGCTCTAATCCTCTTCTGTACTTTTAAAGTGCCAATGTTCTTGTTAATTTATGTCGCTTTAGATTATTTCCTGTTTTTGTGAAAGCTTTCTAGCCATGTCCCTGTCTGGGCTAGGAAAAAAGTGCTAACTTATCAAATAAGTAGATTTATGACACGTAAACAATGGGGTTGTCACAGTACTAAGAAATTAAACAAAATTCTTATACCGCATATAATGATTTATACCAACTTTGATCTATTTTTTTTAAGCTACGAACAATAAATTTAATAGCAATAGGACAAATGTCAAACTTTCCCAGTTTAAACAAGGAAACTTTTTAATTCGGAATAGTTAATTTTTTATTCATTTTTCTTTTATTAAAGCTGAAGTCTGTAAGTTTTTAAAAATCACTTTTTTGTCATATTGGCTAAAACTGTCCCTATGCCCAGACAGCAGTATATGTGATATGTAACCTGTGAAAAAAACTGCTTCAATTGGTACCGCCTACTGCCTGTATTTCAATCTGGAAAGAATAATTCGGGACGAGTCAAAACAACCAATCACAGCCAGAGGAGCGTCTGATGGAGTGTCAATCACAGCTCACACACGCTGAATCCCGCCCCCTCCCCCCTTCTGGTCGCATGCGGTAGCCGCGCAGATGCTGTGAGAGGGGTGGAGCTTGGAGGTGGGGCATGAGTGAAGCAGAGAGGGTGGGGGAGTGACGTGAAACCTGTTTTTCTTCAAATTTTCAGTCGAAGTCTGCTCTCTTCTCAATGTTACAGACTGCAGCTTTAACAACAATGGAAGGCTAAAACAATGGCAAACTAGTTGACTGATTAAAATACAAATTTCATGTAAGATGACGTTGTTTTGTTAGAACAAAACTAACACTTTCCCCCCAAATAAGAGTGCGAAGGGGATAAATGAGTAATCTTTGATAAAACAGGTTAGTTCGTTTGAGGATTTCCACAGGTATTTAAACAGAAACCGTCAGTAGGTGTTGAAACAATCAAACAGTTGGAGCAAAAATTGCACCCTCGGTTTCCGTTGTTTTAATATAAATCTTTTGAAGTAAAAAAAAAGAATGTGTTTCCCATCTGTAATTTGTCTTCAATCAATAGTTTAAGGCTAGAATCCTGCTGCATATTTTTGCTTTAGCGTGCCATACCTGTGAGTAGACTAAAATGTCTTTCATCTAGAAAGTAATATTATTAAGGAAAACTGCTCCTGAGAAAAATACATGCAGTTCTCATTCTTTCTGGTCTGCCTGGGGTCTCTTTTTCTCTCCATATGGACGATAGTTTTAAATGTGCTGCAGTGGTCTTCAGCGGAATGCCAAGAATGTGAAACCTCAGAGAGCCTTTCCTGATCATAAAGCCCTTCAAAGTGGTATACACATCATTTACAATGACCCAAATTTCTGCTCTTGCAGACCAGTGAATTGACGTCTTGATTTATGTTGCTGCTTGTGTCGCAAGCTTTGCAGATTGGGATTTAGTTGTGGCCAAATGTGATTTCAGATGTCTGTGTAAAACTGGACTGGAATGAAATGTTAAGAATAAATACACAGTCTGTGTGGTGGTCTTTAATTGCATTGTGTGGGGTTTTTCCCTTTGTCTGAAAGAACAGTTTGTCTGGACAAAAGTAATTAAAGGATTATGGTTTATGCTGCTCGGTGATTGTTATTTCCCCCCAACGTTATTTGGTTTTGCCCTCAGGTTTGATCATTGTATTAAACAAATTCAGCTTTTTTAGTGATGAATGTGAAACATTGCTTATGCTGGTGGTCCTGCTTGCATTCTAGCCTTTAGTTGATACCTTGTAAAGGAAGTTTGAGCCAGTTTTCTGACAGTAATAGGGTAGCTTTTATATCAATCATGAAGTGCCAGTGAGAAAAAGATAATACTGAATGTCCTGCACAAGTTATTGGGCCCATTTAATATTATAATTCCCAATTAACAGAGTAAATTAAAAATATAATCTGAAGAAAAAAAAAAAGGTATGTTGCTTTGATATACTGTAAGACTTATTACCAGTAGTTGTCAAAAATGTTAAAGGCAACTGTGATATATCTCTGTGCTCAGTGTAATTGCCAAATGCTAACGTTGTTGTTTTTTTAAATCTAAAAATAAATAAATAAATAAATAAAAAAAAAAAATATATATATAATTAACAATAAGTCGATTATTTGTTTGGATCACTATTTTTTCAAACTCAAAGAAGAAAGCCATGGGTCTTTTAAAAAAGAACGACGTGAGAAGTAAAATAAATGAAAACATCTCTCGCTTCTTAAAAACTCGCACTTCTTGGCAACACTGAGCAGTAAGGATATCCGTGCGATCCATTCTCCCCGTTAGACTCCTGTTGGCAAAGCGTAAGCAGGGACTGACTGGAAGACTCATCTCGGCATTCTTCCTGCTCCCTGAGCGTGTTCCACTCTAGGAGGCAAGGAAATCAACATGTACATTTTTCATCCCCTGTCAAAGTCGTCCTATGTCTATGTTCCTCCTATTATTATATGGATACAAACTGATCCGTGAGTTTGAGCGTTGAAGGGGGCAAAGGTCAGGAAGTTGGAGATTAAAATGAAAGCGCTTCCTTTGGTACAGCTGCCTCATTCTCAGTGGGGCAGAGAAAGCATCAGAAATGACCACTGCCTCAGTAGTTGTCCGCTCGTCGGAAACTCATCAGCATGCGGCTGTTTTTCTAGGTTGTTCTAGGCTCCAAATAGACAGCAAATACAGTGTTGTTACTCAAATGCAAAGTTTATGTTCCACAGGATGTAATGTTAGCATGCTGTGCTGAGCCATCTCAAAACACAGTTTGCTTCTGAAACGATCATAGATAAATTACACAAAAAGACGGTCATGGAGCCAACAAGCATAGAGGATGCTGGTTGAGTAATATAGAGAGTAGGAAAAACTTCTTCACCTCTTATTTAAAGGATTTTTGGATGCTATTGTTGTGAATTCTCCTGAAAAATAGTCAAAGCAGCAACTGGGATGCTATTTTAATTTGAATTATTGTTTTCAAGCAGTGACGTGCGGTCAGGGGAGGCAGGTGAGGCAGTGCCTCACCAGCCATCATGGAAAGAAAGAAAATATATAATCATAAAGTAATTTAAATTGTTATATTCATCCGGTGGTTTGTACTAAAAAATATTCATTTTTCATGTAGCTTCACCAATTTCGATTTTTATTTGTTCAAAATCGCTGAATTTTCTTATTTTCCCATTCAAATGCTTGGAAGCGATGCCGGTGAGGCAGCAGCGAGCTCTGCC